TGAAAGCTATTATATTATATGCTAGGTAAGAGAGTAAAGGATTGTTCAGATGTGATTTGCTAGACATGTTCAATAAATATTGAAACTTGGAGAGAGAGAGAGCTTTCTCCAGCATGACTTTGTAACACAGTGGCTGCCTCTAACGTAAATAAATAATTTATTTTAAGAAAATTTTTGGGCGCTAGACAGTATTTTTTTTTTTTTTTTTTTTTACTCAGGGTTGGCCCAACTATGTCTGAACATGTTTCTGGTTGACACTCCAGGTTGTCCAGGTTGTGAAATACATCTTCACTGTGAAAGTGGGCAGAACCAACTGCAGAAAGGGTGGAGTTGAGACCCTGTGCACCATTCATGAGGATCCCAGTGTTGCACAGGTAAGACACACTGTGTATCTGTTTACATTTCTCGAATTTCCATTGTTAAAAGAGATTGACCCCTTTTTATCTTTCCCTTCAAGGTCACTCAGTGCAAAATAACGGTCTGGAGCCAGCCATGGTTGAACAACATTAAAGTCCTTGAAAACACTTGCATGTAGAGCTTGTGACTAGTGCAGTTTGGGGCTTTTCAACATTCAAGCAGCAATAAAATGTACTTGCTGTTGGTAATAATGGTGAACTTTAAGTCTTTATTCTTGATAAAATAGACATTTTATTTGTCCTGAAAACCTGTCAACAACAAATCATGATGAAAGAATGCTTCATTAACACATAATCGAACATGTTTCTGGTTGACACTCCAGGTTGTCTCTGGCCTGAAATACATCTTCACTGTGAAAGTGGGCAGAACCAACTGCAGAAAGGGTGGAGTTGAGACCCTGTGCACCATTCATGAGGATCCCAGTGTTGCACAGGTAAGACACACTGTGTATCTGTTTACATTTCTCGAATTTCCATTGTTAAAAGAGATTGACCCCTTTTTATCTTTCCCTTCAAGGTCACTCAGTGCAAAATAACGGTCTGGAGCCAGCCATGGTTGAACAACATTAAAGTCCTTGAAAACACTTGCATGTAGAGCTTGTGACTAGTGCAGTTTGGGGCTTTTCAACATTCAAGCAGCAATAAAATGTACTTGCTGTTGGTAATAATGGTGAACTTTAAGTCTTTATTCTTGATAAAATAGACATTTTATTTGTCCTGAAAACCTGTCAACAACAAATCATGATGAAAGAATGCTTCATTAACACATAATCATGTAATCTCATTAGACTCCACTGCTTTGAACAAAAGCTACAATTTGTAGGAATTTCTAAATGATAAAACGCATGTTTCTATATTAGTTAATCCTTTACTATTAAAACATGGTTGAACACAATATGTCTGTGTGCTGTGTTTATTTGGTTAAATTTATTATGGAAGTCATAATGACTTGACGTTACAAATTCTAGAAAACGCTGTGTTAGTGTAGGCCTGTGTATTATTTTATGTATGTATACATAAACATAAAGAAAATAATCCAACAGTAAAATTTATGTTATAATAACAGTATAATAAGAGCTACCAGAACTGATGTATTTGTTTGGAACAACTACAGCAGTCTTATTTTTCTTTCTGTCATTAAAATTGGGGGAAAAAAAATCATATTTCAATATTAATTACTAATGAAATGACAGATATTACAGCAATATAAAGCAAAGTATAAAGCAGTATTATTTTACTTTAAATTCATCAAAGCTTAGTTGGTACATTTTGCAGTATTCAGATAAACTACCTAAAAACAGCAGAAGGTTTCTGAAATTAAAACCGGGGACATTTTCTTGTTCAGTGGTCAAAATATAATTGAAACCTTACTTGTTATTATCTATGAATTAAAAAATTGGGATACTACATTTTTGTATGTTTTTGTTTTTAATTATTGTGGGTTCTACGTATTATGTTCCATGAAGTCATCAGTGTAGCTTGTAGCGCCCTCTGTTGGTGAAAATAAACGATTGCTCTGGTAACCAGCAGACTACGTTGATCGGGCTTTTTGCAGTGTATGTGCGGGGCCTTTTGAACGCGTAAAACGGGGACATTTCCGAAGACGTCTCGAGTGGGCAACAGGACATCAAAAACCGGGGCTTTCCCGGAAAAAACTGGACGTCCGGTCACCCTAGGTTAAATATTATCCTACATATTTCACCAAGCTTCCGTCTTCTAAATCTGGTCTGGATAGGACATATTTGCTCTCTTTCCCGGCAAAATATATTCACTCTACAGGTTTTACCGACTGGTTTTACTTTGAAACATGAAAATGTTAAATTCAGATGAGTTAAAAATAGCGGAGACCACTTTATATACACATCTGCCTAAATCCATAAAGGTGAGTACTAGCCTGCGTTTGTTTAATTTCGAAGCAAACCCTGTAAGTTAGCGCTTGATGTGCTTTTACAGACGCAATGAATCAAATACCTGTTGGTTTTTAGGTGTATGGATTTGTTTTCGCTATGAACAGAGGGAAACCACACCATTTGGAGGTATTGGTGGATACGTGGCCAGCTTTTACCAATATCATTGTTCGACCAGATCCAAATGTGAGATTATGTTCTTTATTAACTACTTAAAAATGTTGTCCAAGTTAACCACTGTTATGTCAATATCACTAATGTTGTCTGAAATCTTTAGAATGACCGTGCAAAGGACTTTATGAAGAAGGTGACTCTATACAGCACAGATGAAGAAGTCCTGAGAAGAATGTTGACTGTGGAAAATGCAATTGACTGGAGCACATACTTCCTAATAGGAGGCATGGCTTTCCCCCAAAATGTTTTATGATATATTATACTATTAATATGACTTCTGGTTATTTTAATAATGTCTTGATTATTTTAATTTCTAGGATGTGATCTTCGTCATTCACTAATGCTGAAGGAAATTGCTGCTTCTCGGGGTGTCAGTATGAAAGGGTTTTCCTTGGTGCACCTTATGACATTAACTGAGCCCAGTCATTTACCTGAGCTCATTACCAGGTAAGATGGTAACTCTTATTAAGCTTTTTAAATAAGTGATAAATATCAGTTTGTGTTTGTACAATGTGATGCATTTAAATAAAAGCTTAAACATGCTTAAACTTTCCCTTATATTCTTGACTCCTTCATCAGTGACCTTGAGTCCAGAGTGTCTGTCCTCAATGAGTCACATGCTGATGTAGTTAACAAGACTTGGAAATTTGGAGGGGATGACAAAGGTTACAGGAACATCCTGAATCTCATCAGACATTTCCCCACATGCTGCATTACAGATGAGAGCAACCAGCCTGTGTCCTGGGTGCTGTTGTATGATTACTGTGCCTTGGGGATGTTGTACACTCAGCCTGAGCATCGTGGGAAGGGCTATGCCAAAGCCCTGGTCACCACAATGGCAAAGAGGCTCCATTCTCAGGGCTATCCTGTGTACTGTTTCATTGAAGAATGCAATCGGCTTTCCTACAAACTTTTTAAAAGCTTGGGTTTTACAGAGGACCTCTCTTATAGGGCTGCCTGGTATGAATTCATTTGTTAGCCAGAATACTCATCAATACTCCTGTTTGATGACAAAAAAAAACTCCTTTGAAGTCATCATGAAATCAAAATTGACAATTCTCTTTTTTTAAATGGAATACTGCAGTGTTTATTTTAAATGATTTTTTATTTTTTTATTTATTTATGTGCCCTTGTAATCTTTAATCCAAAACATGAACTTCCTCTCCCCTCTGATGCTTGTGCACTGGCATGAGGGCTGGACAATAAGCCCTCAGTCGATTCCCGATGGACAAAAAAAAAGTCACGCCCAACATTTTTTTACTTGTTTGTGAAGCTGTTTCACTCAGGTATGTATCGCAATAGAAAATAAAGGCGATCACAATTTATGTTTCATGACCTTAACTACATGATGATTTAGTTTTTGTAAATTCAAATAAAAAATTATATTTTATGCACAATTGTAACACTTTTAATACATTTTGATGAAGACATTGTGTTGTAACTTTAATTTAAAATGTTATATGAATGGGATCAGAGGTCAAACCATCAACCTGTAAACTGAGAAACTGGAGAACAACTTTACACAAATTTAATTATTTTATTTCCCATTCAGAGTTTTATTTTACCTGGAAATTATTTGTTTCTCAAAGGTATTTATATACCAGCCATAAGTAGGTGATATTTCAATGCTGTGAAATAATTCTCAATACTATCATGCTTGCACAGAAATACAAAATGTTGCCAAACTTCGTGTGGCTGCAGTACCATCTTAATACATCCTTTTGTAGGGAAAATCCATATTTTTCTTTGTAAAGATTCTCTTTGCTAGGGCTACCTCGGGCCGGTTGCATAAACTGCTAAGACTATAGTCTTAAAAAGTTAGCCATATAAGTTGTTTTCTTCTAGACTGGTCATAACGGTTTAAAGTCAGTTACTAAAACGTAGATTGGCCCAATGTTAATCAGAAAAGTGAGACTGATTATCTCTTGGCTAACTGCTAGTTGGTCAAACTAGTTCTTAAGACACAGTCTTAAAGGGATAGTTCACCCACAAATGAAAATTCTGTCATCATTTACTCACCCTCATGTCGTTCCAAACCTGTATGAGTTGCTTTCTTATGTTGAACATAAAAGAAGATATTTTGAAGATTGCTGGTAATCAAATAAAGTTGGTGGTTGCCATTGACTTCCATAGTAGGAAAAACAAATACTATGGAAGTCAATGGCAACCACCAACTGTTTGATTGCCAGCAATCTTCAAAATATCTTCTTGTATGTTCAACATAAGAAAGCAACTCATACAGGTTATAGTGGCTATGTTTATGCAACTGGCCTCAGGTACACCTTACTCCACAGCTACCATTTTGTGGAGAAAGCCATATCTTTTTATAATTTATAGTTTAATTTATTAAAATTGCTTTTATCTGCAGATTTACTTTGCCTTGCAAAAAAAGGCTTTTTTTTGTTTAATGCGCATCTCTCAATTACAGGTGTTTTAATAATATATATCTATTTTAAATAAATATTGTTTAAAAAAAAAAAGAAAAAAGTTCCGGAAACGATTCTGCTTGGGGGCGCTATTCCAGACGTACAGAATGACATGCGTGGCATGATGTCTTTTTTTTTTTTTTTTACATGCAATAACCTGAAACCCCTGCCTGCCTACTTAGTGGTAGTGGCTCTATAAGTGCCTTTTAAATCACTGCTAGCAATACAGTAGACCCGCTGACGCCGAGCGACACACGTGAGGAAAACAGGCTGCTGGCGGGACACCTCGCAATGCGTCAGCTGACTACAGAAGATCTGAAGACCCTGGAAGTAGATCTTAAAAACTACTTTCCACAGTCGCTGCAGGTTTGAAAGCGTTTATTGAGCTAATAAAGTAGCTCGCCTTGCAATAGTCATGTTTGCTACCGTTAAAATTAATAGAATGCTTTACATGCTACTTAATTGTCAGTTATTTGTGACGCTTTAATGTTCTGTAGGCAAAACATTTAATTTTGTCTCGCTTTTTTCTGTCCTGGAAATATACAGGTATATGGATGCATTGTCCAACTCAACAGAAATGGACAGAGAGCTGATCCTGTTTGTGTGCTTGCTGACCAGTGGCCAGAGTTCAGAGTTTTACTTATTAAACCTGAATTCCGTGAGGTATCAGGAATATTGCGAAATATATGTGCTTGGTTGAATGTTTCACTGTGATTTATGAGAGGTTCAACAATCCATTTATTTATTTATTTTTACAGAAGGGAGACCTTTTCAAAGACATGACTGTGTTTTCAAAAAACGATATCTACCTCAGAGACCTGCTGGCACATTCAGATGTCATTGATTGGAAGATGTTTATTTGCTTGGGTATTTGCATCTCTCTTTTGTTAGTTTTTTTTTTCATTAGTGTGAATCCCTGAAAATCTCAAACACATGTTCCTTTGTAAACTGTCTCAAGCCGCTGAGCTTCATCATGAGAAGATGCTGGAATTTGTGGCTATAAACAGAGGTGTACCTATGAAGAAAGAATCTGTGTGCTACATGTTGGTTCTTCGAGATCCATCAAAACTTTCACACGTTGATAGGTGAAGTATCTCAACTGTAATCATTAACGTCACACTTCAGACATACAATTTTATGACAGGTCATAGTTTAAGCCAAGCTACATTGCAGTAATATGTCGCTGACTATAAGCACTGAAACATGTAACCTAGTAATTGCTGTTCAGTTGTCATCATTGTATTTACCTTTTAACCCTCTGGTGGTCTTTTTATGTGTTTTACATTTAGATTTTTTTTGTGGTGCTTGCTGTATGAACAAACAATAACAGACATATTTACATAGTTGTAAATGGTCTTAAAAATACCAAAATTTTTGAGGTACAGTACAGTCTACAAAAAAGCCACGATAAAGTAGTCTTTGATAATGCAAATAAAATTAATATAAAATTACATCTGAAAATACTCTCATAAGCAACCAGAGAAAACTTTAATATTTGTATTTCATGTAGAATTTTTGCATAATTTAGAGGTGAATATTGTGTAATACCATGAAATCTCAAAATACTAAATATTTAAGAAAATATAGTACATTCATTTCATTAAAAAAAAGTTATGCTTATTGTATTTGTTCTGTTTTGACTTTTTTTTTTTTCTTTTTACCCACAGTTCATCACTGAAGCTGTCTTCTCTCAGTGAGTCTCATCTTGCACTAGTCAACCGTAGCTGGAAGTTTGGCTGTGAAGACAGCAAACTAATGATTAAGAATATGATTTTGAACTTCCCCTCTTGTTGTGTCCTGGACTCAGATGATCAACCAGTAGCATGGATATTAAATGATGCTTCCAGTGCACTGGGAATGCTGTACACACTTCCAGAACACAGAGGAAAGGGCTATGCAAAAGCATTGGTCGCCGTTATGTCAAAGACACTCCACTCTCAGGATTATCCGGTGTACTGTTTTATAGAAGAAGAGAACCATTTATCCTACAGCCTCTTCACAAGCCTGGGCTTCACAGAAGAACCAGATTATAGGGCAGCCTGGTTTGTCTTTAATGATTTGTAACTGGGTCCCATCAGAGCAGCCAATCACAATTGTTTAGCTTCTGTCCGAGATGCTATGTAGGATTATGTAAAAGCTGTTTTTTTTTTTTTACTTCTAACAAGCCCCCACCCCATCAAAAAAAAAAAAAGTTATTTTTAATTATGAATATCTCATTCCATAAATAAAATGTGTAAAACATAACCGTTTATTCTTTGCATCAAATGTAAAACATATACAGTTGAATTACACATTGTGTAGAATCAGTTAGATTTGTTATACTAGTTAAAGGTGTTTTATTTTTCTGCATATTCTTCTAGTCGAAGTAGCCATTTCTCCCAGAATGGCATAATCTTCTCTGAGTTCAGGAAGTGAGTATGTGCGGGTGATCCATCTTTGTAGGCCACCACAATTAAGCCGTTTTCTACCTGTACATAAATGACATTAGATGGAAGACTTCAATGGAAAATACATGTATGCATTTAGCAGATGCTTTTATCCAAAGCAACTTACAAAAGAGGAACAAAAACACTTTGTCTAGGAGCCAACGATATTCGTTATATACAATGCCAGGTTTATCACAGACAAAAATGTATCCACCAGATATTAACATGTGACCACTTGTGAACAGGTTTTGAGGACAGCCATTTCATGACTACATATATTACCATTCAAAAGTTTGGGTCGGTAAGATTTTAAAATACAGCAAAACAGTAATAGTGTCAAATATTACAATTTAAAAGAACTATATCTATTGTAATATAATTTTGAAATGTAATTTATTTTTGTAATAGTACTGCTGAAATTTCAGCAGCCATTACTTCAGTCTTCAGTGTCACATGATCCTTCTGAAATCAGCCTGATATGCTGATTTGGTGCTCAAGAAACATTTCTTATTATCAATATTGAAAACAGTTGTGCTGCTTCATATTTCTGTGGAAACAGTGATGGATTTTTTTTCAAGATTCTTTGATGAACCTGATGTTCAAAAAGACTTAATAAATCTTATAAATCTTTTGTAACATAAATGTATTTACGGTCATATTTTATTAATTTAATGCATACTTGCTGAATAAAAGTATTAATTTCATCTTGCGGACCCTAAACATTTGTACAGTAGATTATGTATACTTCAGATCTTAATACCAGGTGTAAAAGGTGCCATAGTGCTGTTTACCTGGTAGTTGTAGTTGTGGTCACTGTTCAAAGCTCCAATGTATGCAGCTACTTGTAATGGATTATCATAAGTATGGCGAAGGGAGGGCTTAGGCTTCTCTGAGGTCTTCCAGTCAATGACACACAATGAACCTCTGTATGAAAGCAGATAAGGCTTAAAATTCAACATGAGCAACATATACATTCATCTACATTAAAAAAAGTGCATGTTGTGTAATGATTATAAATTCTTATACATATGACTCTTTGATTTAACAAAATGAATCTCACCTGTATTGGGCAACGCAATCTACAATACCAAGGTACTGTAATGCAGAATGATTCACAGCACTCTCAATAGCTCTCACTCCTGTTATATCATTCAACACATTAGATACACTCTCTATATACCCAGACACCTCTGCTGGACACTCATGGTCCTCCTTAGAAGGGGTTTCCTGGGTGTAAGTGTCCTCAATGGCAGCATGGAACAGCTTTCCTTGTCTGAAAATGTCTAAAACAACACAGATGAATTAGAAGGTGTAATTCTTTTAAAAAGCAATAATGAAAGAAAATTGATTATACTTACTCAAGCTGTATTCTTGAAACCCTTCCTCTCCGAGTTCAGCAATCATCCTTCTCTTCCACCTTTCCAGGTAAAAGGCTTGGTCAGGTGGCATGGTCTTCTGGAGGATCCGGGTCACACTGGGTATAGATGTTTTATTAGAGTCCCTCTGTAATTTTATACGAGCCAAAGGTCCCGGCACATACTCCGACTGACCTTTGGCCTCATTTAGCAGTGGATGCAGGTTTTTAGGTACTTTGGGCTGTTTTGAAGGCGGTCTGGATCTTATTACAGGTCCGTACAGCTGACAGTCCTCATCCTCGATGCTTTCAGGAGTCTGGGAGCTGGTTTTTGATGACAACACCCCTCGCACCAGAGATGAGTACCGCTCTGTGTCCACTGTGCTGTACTGACTGACCTTTTTGCTTGCTCTCCATTGACAGCCGGTTGAAAAGTTGTCCACACGCGAGAACTGACCAGAGGGAAAGCCCACTGATCTCACACACTTGCATTGTACCAACAGCTTCAATACTTGCATTGTAATCGCCATACGTGATGTTCTTATCCTGTTTCTGTGGTGAATGTTGCGGCTATCTGCGCATGCTTTGGGAAACGGACAGATAAACTAAAATAAATAAACCAAAAAGTTTTAGAGTGGGCAAGCGATCATGAGGTTGTTGCATTCCGGTTTCAAATGGAGCGCAATTTGAACTGGAGCTACTGGGGAATTATGGGAATTGTAGTTCGAACTGCCTCGAAAGTACGTTTAACACGTTCCCATAAAACACCATTCCCCACAATGCAACTTTTTGGTATAGGCTTTGAAAATAGTCTTTGATTTTTGTTGATAGCCAACCCATAAGTTATATGTATGTATATAGGCTCACATTTCCAAATAAAACAATTGTATTGAAATCACTCGAAGCTTTTCAAGACATTACTACCATCTGGTGGTCAAAACTCTAAGCAGCGGTACACAATAGCTTGTCAAACATCATAACATATTGTTCATATAGTCGTTAAGTACTTTTACAGGTCTGTAAATTGGGTATGCAATAAGCTCTCTCTCTCTCTCTCCACAGGGTTTTGTCGAAATTAAACGAATTAACGTTTTTTTAAAGACTTTTATTTTGACGTGCTGCCAGAAAAATATTCGAGCCGGATGTCCACACAGTAACAGGCGAAAGTGGAGAGTGAAGAGCAGCGAGCTACAGTTAAAAAGTTAAAAGTACAGTTTAATGTACAACCCAGAGACGATAAAATAAGCGAAAGATTTCCTGAACATGACATCTATCTCAGAGGACAGTGATAAGGAGAAGGTAAGTGTTTCATATCTCTCTACTGGAAAGATAAAGCTTATTAATTTATGTTTTAAGCAGTCATCTTGCTCGCTTGCTTACTAACCGCCCAGCTCTGCTTTGCACTTTATAGTGAGTGATCGTACGCTCGTCACTCTCACTGATAGAGTTAACTCTTTACTAGCTGTTCCTCAATAATAACAACTAAACAGGTTTAAAATTGTCTTCGTGACATATCTATCTATCTATCTATCTATCTATCTATCTATCTATCTATCTATCTATCTATCTATCTATCTATCTATCTATCTATCTATCTATCTATCTATCTATCTATCTATCTATCTATCTATCTATCTATCTATCTATCTATCTATCTAGTTAAAAAGTTAAAAGTACAGTTTAATGTACAACCCAGAGACGATAAAATAAGCGAAAGATTTCCTGAACATGACATCTATCTCAGAGGACAGTGATAAGAGAAGGTAAGTGTTGGTCATATCTCTCTACTGGAAAGATAAAGCTTATTAATTTATGTTTTAAGCAGTCATCTTTCTCGCTTGCTTACTAACCGCCCAGCTCTGCTTTGCACTTTATAGTGAGTGATCGTACGCTCGTCACTCTCACTGATAGAGTTAACTCTTTACTAGCTGTTCCTCAATAATAACAACTAAACAGGTTTAAAATTGTCTTCGTGACATATCTATCTATCTATCTATCTATCTATCTATCTATCTATCTATCTATCTATCTATCTATCTATCTGTCTAACGATAATTATATTGTTTTAGTTGTTAGTGTAATTATACTGTAGTGATGAAGGCAAATACGTTAGTTTTATTGGTTTTTTAGTTGTATTGTATTTGCTGTAGTCTGTTTTCAGTAGAAATTATTTGTGTAAATTTCTCTGCTTTTTCTGAACTCTTTTCCAAACTACAGTTACGGTTTGTGGGATAGGATAGGTGACTAAATAAGTTTTCTTTACTTACATGTTTTTTTTAATTGAGCTCATGAACCTGAGTTCATAAGCATAGACTGTGGAATAAAATATTTTTGCAAGTTTTCCCCCCAAAACTGTTCAAACGACAGACTCTATGTGACATGGCACCTTTAGTTCTCAGTCCTTGTTTGAATGTGTCTTCCTGATTTGTCACAAGATGATTCATTTTTTAACAAATCATGTTTTATATAGGTGCACTCTGTATCAGTCGACTTGAACAATGATGCATCTCTCGTCATTGATATCCCTGATGCCCTCTGTGAACGCGACAAAGTCAAATTTACGGTCCACACCAAGGTGAGCCAACAGATCAAATTTATAGTAATTCGAATAAGGCAATAGCTTGCACGCATTCATGTATATCTTAGTGTAACTTACCATGATCTGTAGTATTGGAGGACAGTACGTCTTTGACTCGTAGTGTCGATTTGCTCTTCACTTCCTCTCAGACCACACTTAGTTCCTTTCAGAAGCCGGAATATTCTGTGCAACGACAGCATGAAGATTTCATATGGCTTCATGACACAATTGTGGAAACTGAGGAATATGCTGGCCTCATTGTAAGTTAAAACCCATATTCATATTGTCTATATTTATGAAAGCTCCTCATCAGCAACAGGCATTCTGTCGGCCAACATGAAAACCACAAAGTTTCTCTACTGACCTTCAGTCTGCATTGTAGACTGTTGGAATAGCCAAAAAGTCTTATATTGAATGAAATTGTCTTGCTTTTACAATATTTCTTAGATCCCTCCTGCTCCACCAAAACCTGACTTTGAGGGTCCCCGGGAGAAGATGCATAAATTGGGAGAGGGGGAATCAAGCATGACAAAGGAGGAATATGCCAAAATGAAGCAGGAACTTGAAGCGTGAGTTTAATATATATACAGTGGGTACGGAAAGTATTCAGACCCCCTTAAATTTTTCACTCTTTGTTATATTGCAGCCATTTGCTAAAATCATTTAAGTTAATTTTTTTTCCTCATTAATGTAC